TGATAAATACATAGATGATAGGTTGGTGATAGAGAGATGAAAGAGATGACTGACAGATAAATGATAGATGGTAGATGGATGGATGGATGGATAGATGATAGATAGGTAGATAGATAGATAGATAGATAGATAGATAGATAGATAGATAGATAGATAGATAGATAGATGATAGATAGATAGACAGATAGATTATAGACAGATAGGTAAATATGACTTCCTCCCTCCTTCAGGATTTGAGCCCAGGTCAGTTGCCTTCCCCTTAATGCCTGAGCTTGCCTGGACAGCCAGTTGCCCCTGACATCATGAGGTCAGCTAAGGATAAAGATGCCATTGGGGACAGAGAGATGCACAGACATGGGGGTTGGGGGACAGGTTGACAGAATTAACGATACACCTACAGTGAGGTTTATAGAGGAAGGAGAGATGTTGAGATTTCCAGGTCTCTGATCTGAGTGGCAGGTTGGTCAAGGGGTATCTTCCATTCACCAAGGAAGGAAGGAGGAAATAAAGGAAGGAAAGAAGGGAAGGAGAGAGGGAAGGAACGAAGGGAGGGAGGGAGGGAGGGAGAGAGGGAGGAGGGAGGGAGGAAAGAAGGGGGAGGAAAGGAGGGAAGGAAGGAAGGATGAGGGAAAGACAATCTGGCACTGTGACTTGTTGGGCTTGTTGTGGGGGGGGCTCTAAGAGTTCTCAGATTCCTTCAGAGGCATCAAAGGCATCCACTAGATCACTGCAGGATGGACTGGGTTCTGACAATGGGAGGTGGCTGGTAAGGGCTGAGAGGATGTTCCCTGTCAGGCTATGCTTACTACTTACCATAGCGGAGAGCTTTCCAACCTGCAGCAGAGTCTTGAGGAGGCCCGATCTGACCTGGGGAGCGGCCTCCATGTTTGGCCTCCATCCATTCCTTCAGCCAGGAGAGGCTGGGTGATGTCACAGATGCCACAGGGTGAGGGTACAGTTGTCATGGGGACCCAGGTGTCACCAGAGAGGCTACCTCCTTTCCCTGCTCCCCCCTTCCTGCTCCACTGAGGCCTCAGCCTAAGTCTGGCTACATCATGACAGAAACTAGGAGGCCAGAAGAGGGTGTCAGATTCCTTGGAACTGGAGTTACAGATGGTTGTGAGCTTCCATGTGGGCACTCTGGGAACTGAACCCAGGTCCTCCACAAGAGCAGCAAGTGCTCTTAACTACTGAGCTGTCTCTCCAAGCCTAGTATTTTCTTTTTTCTCTATTCCCCATTAGAGACTATGACATCCCCAGAGATTTTGGTTTGAGGTTTTTTTTGGGGGGGGGGGCAGTTAGACAGGTCTCACTATGTAACCCTGGCTGGCCTCAAAGTGATGGAGAGCCTCCTGCCTCTGTCTTCTGAGTGCTGAGATTAAAGGGGTGCATTCACCACACCCAGCCCCCGACACAGGCATTTGACCAGGTTTACATACCAGGTGGTATTCATTCAAAATGTGGTTGATTATTCCCATGGCAGAGTTGTCCCTATCACACCAGTGGGTACATCTTACCTGACAAGTGGTGATAGCATAGTAAAATTTTTAAATATTTTATTATTTTTATTTGTATGGATGTAAGGCCTGCATGTATGTCATGCAATGCCTGTGGAAGTCAGAAGAGGGCATCGGATCCCCTGGAACTGGAGTTACAGATGGTTTCATGCGGGTGCTGAAAATCAAACCCAGATCCTCTGCAAGAGCAGCCAGTGCTCTTAACAGCTGAGCCATCTCTCTAGCCCATCTCTTCCTCACTTCTGTAGA